TTAAACCTAACGAATGGCGATCGACAGTTCATTTTTTCAATGAGGAGTTTATTTGATTTACAATTGTTACATTACAATGGTCAACAAATAATGTTTTGTTGTAATACTTAATATTATATGCAATCCCACTGAAACAAAATATTTTCGAGACAATGTTCTGTTTAAATAATGTATTCTTTGCAGTGGTGGACTAAGCCCTTCAGACGCCCGGGGCGGTAAAGTTTGGCCTTGTATAAGAAGTTCATCTAATTTTTTTTTTATAGCTTTTTACTTAAACTTGTCACTTCATATTCGTACAAGCGTTTTTGTATATTTTATTAAAATTTTGCATTATTAATGTAGTATGTAATGTAATATTCGTATTTTATTTTCCTCATCCAAATATGGATATGAATGAGGAAAATAAAATCATATCATATATGGATAAGGAAAATAAAATACGAATCAATCGACAAAAAATCAATTAGTAAATTGATTTAGTTCAATGTAGGTAGTAGGTAGGGCCACGCGGCAGCCTCGGCTGGTTTCGTCTGGTGAGTGAGGTAACCGAAGCCCAATTTTCAAAAGGTTGTCTACGCATCTGCAACCCTCGGATGTAGCAGATGTCCATTGGCGGCGGTATTAACAGGTATTCATCAGGTGAACCGCCTGCTCGCTTGGCAACTTTTCACAAAAATGTAGATAATTTTTATTTCCAGTAGCTAGTCCGTGTGTGTTTTAAAAAAAAATATTTCACTGAAGTTATTGAGAAGTTCAGTAAAGTGAAGTCACGAAAACACATATAATCAGTGGGCACAATTTGAGCTCACTGGTACTGTTACAGTAACGTAGCTCTTTAAATCAAGTTGATCTTTTGAATTGATTACCTATTGTATTACAATCTTTGTTATCTATAATGATAAGACATCCTTTAGCAAAGGACCGTAGATAGTAAAAAACTCAAAGTGGAAAGCTTAAGTAAAACTGGAACTAGCTGAATAGACGTTAGAAAAATTAGCAGCAGTGGCGTGGCTTTGCTGCTTAGGCTGCCCCTATATCAAAATGTGTCGGGAGGCCCAGATGAGTAATAAAGATATATGAAAGAAAAAAATCCTCGAATTGAATTAATATACAATTTTTTTCGACAAGGCCTTTCTTTCGGCAAACTTATGTATTATTAATTAAGAAGAACTTATTTTCTTAATTTCACTTGTTGCAGTTGTAACAGGAAGGTCCTAAAATAGAAAGCATACTGCTATTACTTCCGAAAAACGATGCGAGGCTATTGAATTTTATCAGTAATCATTTCATGAGTTCCATAATGGAATGAATTTTCAGATTTTCCAGATTTTAAGCCTGTTTTCAAATCAATTAGGTATAATTGATACGGCTAATACGGCGGTAGCTATGTCCCTGATTAGCAGTAATAGGTAGTATTTATTTTACAAATTGTAAATTACCAGTTCAGACTGTGTTTATTTAGGTAGTCGTATTTTATCTGAAAGAAATAATATTTGTATGGGCCAACTCCTACTGCAACCTCTTAGATAGGCACAGAGCATAGTTTTAAAACCCTGTTTAGGTTTTGCTCCAGGGAACATCATCTCCCTCCAGAACGTGCCTTGGGGCCGGAAACTTCAGTTAAAAGAAGACACATTTACGGCTCACGCTTATATGCAAGAACAGAAAAGTTAATTAAACGGGTTCAAAATGCTTGCGCCTGTTTTTAGGGTTCCGTACCCAAAGGGTAAAACGGACCCTATTACTTACACTCCGCTGTCTGTCTGATCGTCTGTTACCAGGCTGTATCGCATGAACCTTGATAGTTAGAGAGTTGTATTAGGCGAGATGTTTATATATATATATATATATATATATACGTCACGCAACCTTTTGGACACCCTTTCATTTGGCATTATTGTGAGGTCCACCAGTTCCGCTTAAAAATTTTCAACTTTTACTGCGAATATTAGTCGCTGCTTACATATTATTTTTCAGAAATTTTAATTCTAAATATATATACAAATATACGTATATTAACAAGCATAGTGAAATCAATTAGGACTCCACCCAACACTATAAATTATCTGGCTTCCCATAATATACATAATTTTATTTACATTTTTCTATCTATTAAAACTCCTATGAATAGTGCGACGTTGCCGCTGTGCTTTCTGTATTAAGATATAATAATTTGGTGGATAATTACTATATATCTACAGTACAGGTATGCTAGAGTAAATGTGAAGTTTATGGTTATGAAAAATAAAATATGAGTTCAAATGTCATTTATTACGATATCATTAGTTAACTTTAGTGTAAAATTAACAACAACAATCGAATTCATCTTTGTAATAATGATCATAAATATATTGTTTGCAATGGAGGCAACAAATTTAGGAAGTCCAAGAAAATAAAAAAAAATTCGGTTTCATTCATATGAGCAACAATATGCCACGGTCGATCGTGTAAACAGTAATTAAAAAAGGACGGAAAGATTTTCGCCACTGCGGGAATCGAAGCCACGTCTCCCGGATTTCTTCCGTCAAGGCGTTTTAACCACTAAGCTAAAAAATTGAATATCGCAATCATAATTTTTAATATCGATATATCGGATCAAAGTATATCCGCTAAAAATATCGATATATTTTTAAGAAAATATCGATATATTTTTAAGAAAATATCGATATATTTTTAAGAAAATATCGATATATTTTTAAGAAAATATCGATATATCCATATTTTTTCCGCATCCCTATCGTAATAGATAGTTGAAATTTTCACAGATTATGTTTTTCTGTTGCCGCTCAACAAATACTAAAAAACAAAATAAAAAATGTTAAGTGGGAGCCCCATACAATAGACATGATTTTTTTAGACTCCAGAAGAATATGCAGTAGCTATCTACTTGCTTGATCCTCTGTCTTGACCTCTATCTTGTAAAGTAAAGTATCAGCCCATACATATCCCAAAGGCCTCCACTGTACTTAGGGTATCAGGGCATAGTGCACCATGCGCTATCGCGGATTGGCGGACATCACATATCTTCGAAAATATTTTTTTTGTTATTATTTTCAAAATATGCAATTTTGCCACGATTTCCCTCGCCGCTGAGCACGTGATAATTCAGTACTTAAAATCAACAATTTCATGGTTCCGGGTATCGAACTAGATGTTCGAGTACATTGAATTAAAGGTGAGCACCCGGACACCGAGCTATCAAGGCCTTTATCTTGACTTAAAGAAATTGAAAGGAAGTTAGCGTGTCTGTTAAAAATTAAACAAAAATCCCAAAAATGCGCAGTGTTACTTGGAACTCCCAGGTTGTGAAGTAGTCGTCACTTTTTTGCGTTATTGATTTTAAATTTAACTGTGGTAGGACCATGCAACAGCGTTCACTGTTGCACGAATGGGCAGGTCCGTCGGGGTAAGTACCACGACCGACGTAAAGTAGAAGTGGTGAGTGAAGTAGCCGGGGCCCACTTTATTTAAAGGTAGAGTGGTAGTAAGACAATGCATTTGCAACCCCACGGGTGTTGCATATTTCCATGGGCGGCGGTTATCACTTAACATCAGGTGGACCGCAACTCGTTTGCCACTTTCTCAAATAAAAAAAAAATTATAGTTTAAATGTGTAATTATAATTTTTTTAAAATAAAATTCGAGGCATAACGACTTTGATATTTGGCAATGTAATAATTATTTAAGTACATATAATAAAAAATTAAGGTAGGTACTTATGTTAAAAAGTAGAAACAAAACCAGTCAAACTTAAAGGACAGAAGATTTGAGCCTCCTTCTTTTTTCGAATTCGGTTAGGTCCGTTTTTACCTACCATTATGAACCGACGTCCAAATTATTTTTTTACTTTTGACTTTTCTGATATCACCAAGGCAAGCCGCGATCATTGAGAACATCCTCCGATCCGACGTCCGTATATCGGACGTCCAAAGCAGGTGGACGCCAGATTATATGTGGACGCACAATAGGTAGCGTGATGTATATATATATATATACACATCACGCTACCTATTATATATATATAGTACCCGGAGGAAACGGTTTGTTTTTTTTTGGTAAATCGTGTATTTTGGAAATTACATTTAGATACAAATTACTGAGTAATGAAATATGCATAATATTTTTCGATCTTACCGACGTAATAATAAGAAAGTATGAACTTTAAAAAAAAAAGGGAAAAAAATAACAAAATAACAAATCGACAAAAAATTTAAAACATAGAAAGCAATGATCTGAATCCGAAAAAAAAAAGTAAAAAAATAAATGTGTAAATGATCGTGACGCGAACCACGGCCGTCTGGTTTGGGGCCGCCCGATTACCGACCGAGCTATTATGACATTTTCTCTTGCGGCGAAATTTACCGTCATATTCGAATTATATTTTTCATTCCCTAAAAACAGGGATAAAAGGACATTTCCTAAAAATGAAACCTAGCTAGATCGATTTTTTGCCCCCGAATCTATGCACATACTAAATTTCATGAAAATCGCTGGAGCCGTTTCCGAGATTCCGATTATATATATATATATATATATATATAAGTTATATAAGTTATTGCTTAATAGACCATCTAATAAAAAAAACCCTGTAATCTGTGTACTGCGAAATGACTTGTACGTACTGCAAATGGGTGTGAAATCTTTTTTCGTCTTATCATTACCCATATTTTTAATGAAGTGAAACTTCTGTGTGAGTTTTCCTCAGAGTAAAATTTCAAGGTCGCGTCATAAGAAATTGTAAGGAAGTCATGGCCATGACGGAATTGTTTAAGAGTATATGCTATAAACGTAAAAGCTAGATAGAATGACATATTATGTAAATAGGGAAAAATAAATTTATAGTTCGACTTGTGTAAAAAATACAAATAAAAAAAGTCAAATACATTTAAATAATCAATGAAGTGTCACTTTCAACACGTGTACTCTGTACACACGCACTTTTTTTTAACAATTACGTTGTAATAAGACAATATTTATCAACATTTTATTGTAAACATTTATCCAAGTGTTATAACATTGTCAGTTGTTTCAGCATACAATTGATGTACGCCTGAAGAGGAGGCAGGAACTAGATGGTGGGGACCAATGAGGCAATACTGAAATGAGCAGCCGGTGTTCAGAGTTGCTCCAGTGTACACGATGCAATCTTGAAGCACACATCTGTAAAAAGTCTGCATGTTATAAATCTGTACAATTTGTAGTAAGTTTTTTCTTAAAGAAACAAACACACAACAAACAAATTTTAATCTTAAGTATCTTGTATCTTGTATTAACTGATGTTTTTGCTTTCAATCCCGAGATTATTAAAGCTTCATCTGACGCAGAACCGGTAGCCAGAACCCACGGGTTTGGGCCCTCTGCTGTGGGTAGGGCCGCGCATGTGCTCATGCGTGCGTTGAACTATGGTGTGTCATCTAAGGGCCATCGAGGTCGCGGTTCGGACCGAAACCCCGATGGCCGTCGGCTGCGCAATTAGCTAACCGGTGGCTGGGAGCGGTGAGAACCGCCCTGGAACGTGGGTGTACCTTGTGTACGCGTTGTGTTGGCCTCGCCGTGCTCGGAGGCGAGGGCGAATTAGTGTGTTTGTTGTTGCACTACTACTACTACTACTACTAACACGTTGGCGGTGGGTCCGACGTATCTAAGTCCCCTTCCTCGACCTCGAGGACGTTTCGCGGGCGACGCTTGTTGACGCTCGCGTTTGTGTCGGGTTGGTAATATGCTGCGCTTACCACCAGAGAACCGTTCTATCGAAGAACCGTTTGAACAGGTCTTTAAAATATTCACGAATCGTCGGGAGTAATCGCTGTGCAGGTCGACGTTGCGTTGATACCACTGCGCAGCGGTTGCGCAGCGGATGAACTTATTTTGTACTATTTGCAACTTGTACAAGCGAGTAGGGTGCGTGTGGGCGAAGATCATGCATGCGTAGGACACAAGAGGTGATGACCTCTGGTCTTATATAATAATAATTTGTGCCTTAAGGGCATTTTACTTTTAGCGTTAGTTAAGTTGTGTAGCCGGCCGGAGACGAACGCGGCTCTATTACGAAAAATCTTAAGTGCAGAGATTAGCACTATAAAAAATTAAATTTCTAAAAAGCAATGGCGACATCTCTCGTTCGAATTATCATTGTAAAACGATATTCGAAATTGTTTGTATGGAAAGGATATAACAATGGATGGGCCAAGCATTGCTTCAAATGGTAAAAAAACAATATAGATATAGAAAGACTCTCGAAGATTTTCGTCGGTGTGGGAATCAGCCGTTTACCAGCCGTGGCTATAGCGAATGCCGAAGACGTGGGTTCGATTCCCACAGCGGCGACTATCTTTTCGTACCTTACAAATTTTAAAGTTGCAAGTTTTTTTATCTTTACATACATAACTCTACTGTACGTGTGTTGTTACTGAACTCCTCCTAAACGGCTGGACCGATTATTTTTTTTTGTATGGGTTTGGGAGGCGCCCAAAATAAACATATTGTGAATCTAAACCATCTAGGGTTTACAATTTGTTTATTTTTTCCGCGAAAAATCCCGTACGAAGAAATAATCTGTAGTGTCGAGGACTGTTTATATAAAAATAACATCGGTAAGGAAGATTTAGAAGGTATACGACAAGATATTTCGTCCTTATTACGTCGAAGTTCGGTACCGAAGTCTAACCTCCCTAAAGATGAATTTAACGCGTTAAACAGCTTACGCAAAAAACAAAGATTTAACTGTTCTCCGCGCAGATAAAGGAAATGCTACGGTGGTTATGAAAACGTCGGATTATAATTTGAAAATACAAGAACTGTTGTCGGATGTAAGCACGTATAAAAAGGTCAAAACAGACCCAACCACTAAAACTCTTAAATTAACTAGCGATCTCATTAAAAAAATACTCCGAAAAATTAAATCTAGACGTGAAATCGATGACACCTTCATGTGCTAAACCCCCAAAATTGTATGGGTTGCCTAAAATACACAAACCAGACATACCATTACGCCCTATTGTAAGCCAGATCGACTCACCAACTTACAGACTGGCTCAACATCTAGTACGAATTCTCTCACCACTGAGAGGACACACAAGGGCATACACAAAGGATTCTTACCATTTTGTTAGTGAGATAAAACAACTATGTCTTGCTGACAATGAAACAATGGTCAGTTTTGATGTACAGTCTTTATTTACATGCCTACCATTAGAAGACTGCATCTCAATTGTAACAAGAAAGCTAAAAGAGAATAACATGCCGGAGAGTATGCATTACTACTTAAACATTGCCTAACATCCGGCTACTTGCTTTGGAAGGAGGAATTTTACATACAGATAGATGGTGTAGCAATGGGCTGCCCAGTATCTCCCATTGTCGCTGACATATTTATGGAAGACTTTGAGGAGAAGGCCCTTCGCACAGCTCCCATTTATCCAAGGTTTTACAAGAGGTATGTAGATGACACCTTCACCATTTTACCAACAAGTAAAGTTAATGCATTTCTAAACCACCTTAACTCAGTAAATTCCAAAATACAATTCACTATGGAATTAGAGCATAATAACTCTTTAGCTTTCTTAGATGTTTTGGTCATCCGCAATCCAAATAACACTGTAAGTCACACTGTGTATAGGAAGGCAACCCATACAAATAGATACCTAAACGGTGATTCTCACCACCATCCATCCCAGTTAGCTACCGTGGGTAAATCTTTGTTTCAGAGAGCACAAGGGATCTGTGACAAACAACACCTGGCCGCTGAGCTTCAACATGTCAAGCAAGTTCTGCATGACAACAAGCTTCGAGCACCGCGCCTACGTCACAGTGACCGAGTGAAACCAGCCACAGTGGAGCGAGTACCTGCTGTTCTACCATACGTCAGAGGAGTCACCGACAAGATTGGCTATATCTTAAAGCAGGCTTCAATTAATACATTCTACAAGCCGCTGAAGAAGATTAGTCAGTTTTTACCATCTGTCAAGTGTAATATCCCTCTGCAAGATCCAGGAGTGTACAAACTTGACTGTGAATGTGGGCTCTCTTACATAGGTCAAACGAAAAGAGCAATAAAAAACCCGCGTGAAAGAACATATAGCTGACATCAAACACAATAGATTGAACAAGTCTGCAGTTTGTGAGCACATTTTGAATAGACCCAACCACTACATCAGGTTTGACAAACCACAGATCCTTGCAAAAGAACACCGATTCCTCCCAAGGATGATTCGCGAGGCTATTGAAATTAAAAAACACCCTAATTTCAATAGAGAAGAAGGTTGGGTACTACCATCAGCTTGGGATCCTGTCATCAATAAAATTAAATCTAGGCCCAAACGAACCACTACTGCAAGACAAGATACAATTAGCTCCCTCTGCATAGATCGGACACAAAATTAATAATTCAAAAACTGACGGTAGCCCGGGTTAACTATGACAATCAGACGTCTAACACCTCAGTCTGTCCCGTGACCATGAACGCTGTAAAGGGTTCGAAACGTCGGGAATTAAAATTAAAAATAAACGCGATAAATCCGTAAAATTAGTTTCATTTATAATGTGTAATCGCGTAAATACAAGAAATTATTTTGTTATCGGATTTTAATTGTGTGTACAGGACAACTTCTGCCTGGTCCGCTAGTAATAGGTATATAAAATTATTGGGTAAAGCCAATTCCAGCAGTGGATTTATGATATGTTGAAATGTGTGACATTATAGTTTTATTCATGTTGACATATTATGGGAAAGGAATATAAAATATGAATTTATATTGCATTCGAATTTTATCCGTAATCTTGCCATAACATTACATTTTAGTAGTTGAAAATTAATATTTAAAGTTAAATAAAAACACAAGCCGTGGCTATGGGATTCAAAGATATTTGCAAAGAAGAAGACTTCTGATGCAAACTTTTGATAAGATAATGCTTAAAAGGAAAATGAACCAAATATGCCCTGATTAGGAAAATTAAAACCTTCCTGCTTCCACAAATACAAAATTTGTATCATACAATGCAATAAATTAGAGCAGCACAAGAAGTAGCAATTGTTACTCCCCCTTAGCATTATATAATAATATACTTACATAAATGTGTAGGTTAAAAAAAGCTTAATTTAACTAATTAACTTCTTAAGACAAAACTTGAAACTTATTTCAATTATAATACATAATTTAAATAATAATACTTAAAATACATATATGAAGAATCATTACATACATATTAATATTTTGAAAATTCTGACTTATGTAGATGATATTGTATAAAAAGTTGAGTGATGCAACTTATAAAATAATAATAAATCATATTCATTTCATACCCTTCTTTAACTGTAACATTATTCATCAAAATGCAGTTGGTCAATCTCACTTTATTCTCAATAGTGCAGTTAGCACCAATGAATGAACTCTTTATTGAAGTTCTTTCACTGATTAAGGTTTTCTCTCCAACAATGCACATTTCATCAATTTGCTTTGTCTTTACTTCACTGTTTGCATGAATTCTGTCTGTAAGAGGCAATCCAGTTAGCTCTTCCCATTTGGTCATTATCTGTAATCAAAAATTATAATCACAACATAGTATAAAACAAAGTCATCCCGCTGTCTGTCCCTATATGCTTAGATAAAACTACGCAACAGACCTTAATGGGTTTTTTTTAATAGATAGAGTAATTAAGAGGAAGGTTTATATGTATAATACATTGCACCCGTGCAAAGCCGGGGGGGGGGGGGGGATCGCTAGTTATCTATAAATTGCAAAAGAATAAATGAAATTATGTGAATTTTTTGCGAAAAATTAATGGAGGGTTACATTACTAAATAGTAAATAAAAACATTTTTTTTGTTTTTTATTGAGCCCCTTACAGTATTTAAAATCTAGGAAATTACCCTGTAATTGTTCGTTTTATTACAATAATATTTTTACACATTATATAAATGTACTTAAATCAGTACATAAAAAACTGAGATTGAGTTTTTTTAATGTCAGGATTAGTTAAAAAATGCAAGTTATTAAAACATAATATATATTGCAGGCATGTTGTTAGGCACTAAAAGCGCTTTGGAGGTGGCCCAAACCAGAATGTAAAATCAACTATTGAATGAAATTGTTATGAAACAAATATTTTTTAAAATTGTTAAAAGTCAATTGTCTCAGTTGTGATACATCTCCATTCTACTGACAATTTGTGCCTCAGAAGTTTTAACATACGCACACACCCCTAGGGGTGACAATATGATATGATTTATCGGAACAGGGATCTAGCACTACACAAAACTTTTTGTTATATGGTAATCAGACAGCCTTGGACATGCTGCTGCCGATCTTTCTGAAAGTCGTAACATGTGAAATCGACACCGCTTATCATTAGCAACTATGTAAAAGCTTGGGGTGGATTAAATTTTCTTCTTGAAAATTATATCCATGACAGTACCCCTAGGTAGTCAGAACATGTTCAGTAACATTTCTGAATTCAAATTTTTGGCTTATGGACATTAAAATGTATGAACAAAGTTAAATTTTACACAAACACATACCTTCTTATTAGATAAACAAAAGGAGGATAGAGTGTTAACCCGGATGCCAAAGGTGGTTTTGTCCGGTATGTGAGCATAACAACGCAGAAGGTCATTACAATAAACAGCTTTGTTCCCAAGTGTATGGTCATTGTATGCAGACATTTTTCTTATTTTACTTTCATATCCATGGTCTAGGGCATAATAGAAAATATCTTTGAATAGTTCCAAATTTTTTTCAGAAGTGCCTTTCTTCTCTGCTGTATTTTTAGGTTTAGAAAGCTGTTTCTTTACTATGTGTGGTATAAGTTCACCCTTCACAGAAGTGAATCTCTCAACATCAATGATATAGTTAATTATCCATTTTTTCATTACATAAACATGTGCATCTAATAATCTACTGAACATATTTATGGACTCAAACTTTTTTATTAGTAATTTTGGTATAGACACATTTCCTTCAAAATCACTAGCACTAGCAAGGAACACTAGTCTTTGAGTTTCTTCATCAACACAAACAAGGTCCCTGTCAGGTTTAGATTTACTTGGGAGCCCTGGCAGCTCTATCCACTCTTCAGGACCATTGTTAAAAAAAAGGGTTGCCAGTGCAGCATCATGTTTCCTGTACAAATTTAGTACTTCATTGAGATTTACATTAGTAATAAGATCTCCTGATACAATCACAAGGTCTGTAGTTACACGGTGGCTAATATTTTTTAGGGAATTTGCTGTGCCCCAATCTTCTTCAGAGGGTATAACTAATAATTCATATTTTATTTTCAGAGGACATTTCTCTAAAGCATTTAAGATATTCGATTTATCTTCGTCTAGGACAACTATGATCGTTTCTGTAAAACAGAAAACAGTATTCATATATATTAAGCAAATAAATATTCTAATTGGCAATTAGGAAAATCCAATGATTTACATATTTGCATTCATTAAAAACAAATGTATTGGCCATTGTTGTATAACTTTTTATACAACAATGGCCAATACATTTACCCCTCACTAGATGGAGTGACAAACTTTGCAAGTGAGGGGTAAGTTGATGGATGTAGGTAGCTCAAGATTCTGCTTTGTGGCATTCCATGGGGGAGGCCTGTGTTCAGCAGAGGAGTAAAATAGGCTGAAATAATATATATATATATATATATAAATAATATAATCTATAATATTTGAAAAATGCGTTCTGTAAGTTCTAGAAGTTTTCTTATAATATACAATATAATTGCATAATAATTTAGAATAGCAGTACAAAATATTTTCACATTTTTTTTAAATAATAGAGAAAAGAAGTTTCAATATTAACATTGGTTGTTTCTTTTATCTTAGAAATTGTAAGTGAAAAATTAATTGATGGTTTATTTAAACACCCCATCTTACCTTGAAAGCCAACTTTTTCAAGCATATTTAATGAGTACCATAAAACTGGGTATGGTCCTACTGGAAGAAGACATTTAGTTACGGTTCCGCCGACGTGTGGCATCCGTGAACCTCTTCCAGCTGCCAGAACTACTGCTTGAAATTCTAATATCTTGTGCATTGTGGATTAATATTTTAAGTTTGTTTAATGTAATGCTCATAAATTAAATATTATAAATTATTATACTTTAAACTTTAAAGAATTTAAATAAGTAAGTAGCTTTCAGTAAATTGTTTGAAAGCAAGGAAACAAGCTGCAAGAGACTTAGACCAAAGAGTAATTTATATATCTGATCTGATCAAGACCAACCAAATACCAATGTGAATTGTGAAAAATTGACACTAAACTAATTGTCACTGTGACACTGTCAGTCAGTATTGTCGTATGAAACTTTATTTCATTAACTAAGCTTGTATTAAAATTGTGAAATATTTTACGAAACGCGGCTCCCAAGTTTTTTTTATGTAAAATTATATTGAAAACAAGAAAAATGTGACAATAACATCTTACTAGGTACTAAAATGCATTAAATTAAATAGTTCCTCTAGCATCTTAATGGTCATCATCACCTTCGAATGCCGACGATCAGCCTACACAAGCTGCTGTTCCTTTTTTAACCGTTTTGGTAATTTTTAAATACATTAAGAGGTAAAGCATAAATGTGGCAGCTTTGATTAAGAATTTTCAACTGATGAAGTGTAACACTTCCACATCACGCCGGTCTTCTATGAGGTTGTGGTGCTTACCCGGATATATCTGCCCATTAGTACAACAGTGAAGGAAGACTGATGCGTGGCTCTACCACAGTTATGTTCTATTTCATAATATAAGGTTATTTATTTAAAAATATTTAATGTAAGCAAACATGTTTTACTTATCAATGTCCGCGTAATAATACGCCGAGGTTCAGGCTAGGCGCCCCGTGCGCCAGGCCACCTCAAGCCCATCGGAACTGTAAAGGCCCCTAAGGTGAACAGTGGCTCAACCAGACCAAAATAAATAAATTATCAATGTCATACTGGATTACCCATTACGCGAGTGTGGCTAGAATCACTATTTGTGATGCATTACTTCGCGTTCCGCGATCCGCGATTCCGCGAGTTTAACGATATTTATATAAAAATAATTGAGACTAGATTATGGGAGTCAAAAGAAAGAATATATAATAATAACGTGACGCTATGCGCCATACTTCTTCTTTCTCTCTTTCTTTATGGCTTCTCTTTAAAGAATTTTGCCAAAGTCAAGTCGATTGGTAATCTCAGATTATACATACTGATATCAACTCTGATCTTCTTGGTTTATGTATTATGTTTGAATTACTTTAAATTAAATTTAGAATGTTAGTTTTATCTGTTCAGACTGAATTGTGTCATATTTGATTGATTCCGTAAAAATCACTTGGAGAAGTAACATGTCTACCTATCTAACATAACTCTTGTATTTTACATAAATTTCATAATCATTACGTTTGGTCTAAAATAAGTTCAAAATGTTTAAGTTCAATAAAATTCAAATAAATAGTTTTCTTATCAGTCCTTAAGTGTCTTTTCGGTTTGAAAATGATCCCATCAGCCACATCTAACATTCAAGAAAGTCAGTCATGGGAGTGAAAGAGAATAATTTTTGTGAAGAAGAGAAAATAAGTAATTTGCGTTTATGCGCCATAATTGTTGAAATAACAATTGACAGCCCTGTTGACAGTTCTCAACTGTTGTTTGCTTTCACCGTTAGTTGTTTACGTGTATACAGTTGTATGAGTGGCGGATTTGCCTTAAGACGCAATAGGCCTGGGCCTAGGGCGGCCGCACATTAGTGGCGGCCAATCGTGACAAAAAATTCACTGATGACTTATCATTAGAGCTTATTACATATCTTAATATATAATAGGCTCTGAGAAAAGGACGACTGGAACTTACTACATGGGCTGGGGCCTAGGGCGGCCAAGACAACAAATCCGCCACTATACAAACGTAAGATTATAATTTTTTGGGGCTTTAGTGGATTAATAAAATTGTTGAGGTTTTATAGCGCAGAGTGAAACGCAGTGAAACTCTGCGCTATAAAACCTCAACAAAAATACTAGGCTGTTCCTAGTAAACTGAATATTCAGTCTACCGATTGTAGCATCCACTTGTACATTTGGATATCGATTTGCTATTGATTTGGACGTTTATAACAAAAATGCGTTAATTATAGCTTGTTTTATATTTACATTTTTTTGTCTCCCATTTTTTAGTCATACCTACTTACCATTGGATTTTTTGTTACCTTTGTCCCGTTCTACAACTATAACTAAGTTCCCAATATGTATAGAGCTGTTTCAATAAAATTTACTTTATAAAACGAAAATTTATTATAATGAAAAGGACTGTCTAAAATGCAGAGACCAATGATACAAATTTTAATTAATCAGTCATCATCCATAGGTAGTATTGGGGTTGCAGGAACGCTGTCATCTTTATCTTCACATTTACAGTAGTTAGCATCAGCTTTTGGGATGAAATCAGTCATTTCCATTGCTATTATTTCTGTACTCTCCGGGGCTGAAAAATTCAGATGTAAGGTGACGACTATGATTAGATAAGAAAGAAAAGTCCGGCACGTCGTCACCTTCAAGGTTTCACAAATAAATTCAATAAAATAAGATTATATGTAATTTTAGATAGATTTAATCTTGTAAATATTAGATCAATAAACTATGATATATTGATCAAATAAACAATGATATTTATACTACAGATATGTTGTTAATGCGTACGGAGTGAAGTCACGGAAACGTCCCAATTGGGACGTCTTATCTTTAGTTCGCGTTCGGCAGGGCGGCGAGTAAGAGGTGTGTGTCAAAAATTTTACAATAATAAAAATGCCATCATGTGGGATCTCATGTCATGTAGGAACATAATGCAATACAATATTTTGTTTGATTTATTAATATATTTTAATTGTTTCCTCAATAGTTTACGTAAGTTAGAAAACAAAGAAAGAGGTAGCAAATAAGTCTAATACTGGGACGACAAAGACGGATGCGCCTCGAGATTTTTTACACTTACAAACTACTTCTACTACGGAAAAATACTTGCCCTCTGTTTCTTATTGCTTTAATTACGCTAGTCTTTTTATCACGTTCGAGATGTGTGATGAACGAAACGTGTAAATATGTGCTGTCACGGTGATTTTGTAAGCGTATATATTATAAAATATCATTGAATAAAAATAATTCTTCCATGAATCAGATACGCCATCTTCTTGTCAATGTTGTCCGTATAATTGATTTTTTCATTTCATAATATTACTAATATTGTAAGATATCTCAATGTAAAATAATAAAATACAATGTATTTTGAATTATAGAATTTTGAATTGAAGTAACAATTGTCCAGGGTGGGTGCAGGGAGTACAAATCAATATTGTTGTAAACCAAATGTATTTGTTCTTTACATGGTGAATTTCGTCAACTATCCCGGTCCTAGGCAGCCCGCATCCATCCGCTACCTGCCACCTTTCTTAAGTGGTATTTCTCCATCGTGCTGCAGGGCGTCCCACACTATGTTTCCCTAACCGTGGTGTCCACTCTAACACGTGTCTTCTCCAGTGAATATCAATACGTCTGGAGATATGGCCAGCCCACTTCCACTTCAGCGTGCTAATTCTGCGCGCAATGTCGGTTACTTTAGTTCTCTGACGAATGACTTCGTTTCGTATCTTGTCTACCTGAGAAACCCCCAAGCATTGCGCGTTCCATGGCCCGTTGAGCGACCTTGAATTTTTGGACCAGCCCCACGGAGTGTCCACTAGATATGCTAGGTATACTCTATTTTACTAACATTATCATTAAACTGCTTCATTTATAGTATAAAACTAAGTATTGTCTTGTTTATATAAATGTTATAATGTTTTAGTAAAAACGTCAACATAAAATACTATCAGGGTTTAAATAAAACCAATTTTAATTAGAGCCTTTACGAATAAAATTACCTTGGTCGGCTTCTAATGGTTGTGCGGTTGTTGTATTACCGACATTACAGGGCGTGCAAGGCTGCTCCAGTTCCTCTACTACGTAGGTCTAGAAAAAATATATTTAAAATACAGGTATTTGAAATATTAAATTTTTTATGCTGACACTTAAGATGCAAGTAAAATATTAAAATTTATACAAAAAAGGACCAAACGTTTCTCGCCGCTGCAGGAATCGGACGGAAGACGTCAGTTCGATTCCCGCAGTGGGGAGAAACGTTTCGTCTTGTTTTCTAAAAATGTTAAATTGTATTTGATTTTATCGTGCTTACAAGTAATGTTTTTATAAACAGTAGAAAAAAATATTTACTTTTCCATCGGATCCAATGGCAGTGGATGTAATACGCAATAGAGGAGTTTTTGCCATATGTTTCATAATTGGTCGCGCTGCAGTACCCCCACCACAATAACGGTGACAAAACTGGGCCCTGTTAGAAAGGTTTAAAAAATATTTTTTTAAGGACAACTGTAGTAGTTGTCCTTAAAAAAATATTTTTTTTTATTTGTGTAGACAAATTGTTTTAATTTTTTATTATTACCTAGGGTCGATCGCATGTGTAACTGGTCTACCCGGATAACAAATGTCATGGTCACCGTCCCCTTTGGGCTTTGAGGTTTCATTACTACTCGATTTTTGTGTAGGTGAAGTTTTTGTAAATGGTGGAACTACAGGGATTGTGTCACCCTGTGTTATATCCATATTTGCAGGGGAGGCACATGAAAGGCAAGCTGTATCACGGAAAAGTTTTCTTGTTGTTGCAGCAGCTTGTGGCTCGCCAAGAATATCCGTTATGGCCTGTGTTCTTCGGTTCAGTAGTTCAATATGCTTATTCACGTCTTCACGTAATGAGTAAAGTTGACTCCATTCAACTTTTTCATTGAGTTCTCTAAATATGTCATCAATTGCTTTCTGCAATTAAAAAACAGTAAGCTAGAATCTTACAAATTTTACGTTTAATTGCTATATTTTAAGCAATTAATATTGATTAAAATATAGCAATACAGTTAAACGTTTAGTTGTAATATAAAAATTCTAACCTGCCATACAAGTTCCTGGTTATTAAATTTTTCGTAAGCAGCTCCGATACTCTTCTCAAAATTACCACGAACTGCTTCAAAGTGCTGTTGTGTTACAAGACCATTCAAGGACTTAAGGCCAGCTTTGTCACGAAGCGCATCAGATATTTCTTCTCGGTCGGGTTTTATTTCTCGCAGTTTTTCGATTTGTTGCCATAAAGACTATAAAAATTAATATTTAGTTATGTATTAAATATATTCAAAACAACTAATAATGTAATCAGATACCTTCAAGTCCAAATGAAAAGAGCTTTGAACTTCCTGTAATTCTTTTTGTTTAAATGTGGTTCTATCAAAATCTTCTTGAAGATGCGTAAAGTTATTGTTCAATTCCGCCATAGCTGTAGATGTTATTTTTTAAAATAAATTCTTTAGAATAAAAGTACTACCAGTCACCTTTGAATAATCAAACCTGCTGTATCTCCACCCGAGTTGGTAAGCGCTTCTGCCATATTTTCTAAGCCAATTTCTAAGTCATGCTGCATTTGTGTTAGCTGTTCTTGATAGTTAGTCATCTGCAAATAAATTAAAAATGACGATTAAATTATTTATCCAAATAAAGTTCTACCCTTTACAAAAAGGGTGTATGAGGAATTATAAATTTATCTAATGGATGGACCATTAAAAAAATAAAAGTTTCACCTGGGCAGATAATCCAGTGTCTAAGATATTAATCTGATCTGCGTAATCTGAGACCAGAATTTCTAAATCTTTCATGCGTGACTCAAGGTGAGACGTGCCCTCCAATTTTCTCTCTGATATACAAGTAAAAATTTATCATATTTGTTCTGAATTCATTTTATCTATATGATTTCACAAAAACACATTAGCTTCTTACCTAATCTTTTTGTAATTTTCAAAGCATTGTTCGCACTTTCAGTATTAGCGCTAGTTATAGTCGTAACTTCATTAAGGATGTCAGTTTGTAATTCTTGTAGAGCGCGACTGCATGATTAAAAATATAGATGTTATTTAATGTTTATTTTTACTGATGCCTATCTAAATATTAAGAATATCTTGAACAGATTTTATGTAAATATATAAATTATATTTCACACATTTAATATATAATTTGATGAAGATCCTGGGTTCTATCTTGCCTTGGTTTATAGTTATGTTTTTAGCCGAGACATTTAATTTCACAACCGACCTAAAAATATTCAAATAATTAAAGTTTGTCATTCTGTATAAAGAGCTGTGTGTAATATAAATAAAAAGGACAACTGAGGCAGCAGGTTTTAGGAATTTATGAAAATCGAATCCTCAATCAGGTGTATTGTATTGGTCATAATATATAAATAAAGTATTTATTAAAATATGTAAAAAAAGTGCGAAAAGATTGTCGCCGCTGTGGGAATCGAACCCACGTCTTCGGCATTCGCGGCCTGACACTCTAGCCACTGAGCTAAACGGCTGATTACCACACCGACGAAAATCTTAACGCATTCTTCCACATTGTTTTCTTAGCATTTGAAGCAATGCTACACTCGCACTTTTTCTACATATTTTAATGTTCAATCTTAAGTGCAAAGATTAGCACTATAAACAATTTAAATTTCTAAAGTATTTATTGATAAATAAACAATACTAAGTAATACTCTAATTCCATATATGTTATCCAGTTCTCCGATTTATTTGCAGAGACGTCTTCTTCGGTTATAACAGTCTCGTCTTCAGTTACGGCGTTTTTGAACCTCGATGTTTCTTCAGAAATTGCCTTTGGAGTTGTGGTTCTTTGTTTTGCAGAACTTTTCTGAGTTTTTTTTGTGACCATTTGTGCTTTTTTATCTGTTTCAGGGGTCTTATTTTCACTTTGATCCTTATAAATGAGTATACAGGCTTTATTAATATAATTATGAAATTTAAAAAAGGAAATAAAAATACCGATTGTTTTACCTCCTTCTTTGGGGATAAGTCGACACCTGGAGTCCTACGAGCAAGGTCAGTAACTAATGACAGCATCTGTTTTAGCATTTTTTCTGCTGCATCAAGGCGAGCAGACATTTGCAATGCAGCCATGGAATCTGTCAGCGAGGCGCCCTTTCGAAGCTCTGCCATAAGCTGAATATTGTCCGGGAAATCAGCGGAACCTATTCCACCGAAGCGGTTTTGTAGTTCCTGTACTGCATCCGCCAGTGTTTGAAACTGTTGTTGTGTAACAACTGAAAGCTGTCGTGTCTTCCCATCCACCCTTTGATCTATTCATTAAGTTTCCTATTTAAATTATTAGCGTGTCAAGGTGTATTAAACTGCAATAAATTATTAAACGAATTACCATCACTTGACTTTATTTCTTCAGATGGTAATCTTTCTACTGCAAGTAGAAAATACAATTAATCATAAATGACACAGAAAATTAAAATGTTAAAGTAAAATTTCATTTTAATTATAAATACCCATACCGACTAATAATTTTTCATACTGCATTTCTGTGGACATGTAAGATAATATTCATTAATAAGAAACTTCATAAAAACAAAATTGTTTAGCTATTTGATGGCTCTAACACTATTCTATTACATTTTCAATTAAAATTGTTGTAATAATTAGTTACATGTTGGGAAAGGTTGGAGGAGCGACAAGTTAATTTGTTGGAAGCAAGTAGGCAAATTATATTTTAAAGATTTATTAATTAAGTATATCAAAACATTTTTTCCTCAAAAATATTTTACTTTGATTTAGAGACTCGTGAATCGTGAATAGCGTAAACTATTTCTGTCTTTCCCGTAATGGCCTTACAGTATGTCAGAGTTTCTGCTTTTCATTTTCACATTTGTTATTCGACAAATAATTAGCAATTAAGTACAAAATTGCGTAATGTGAAAGTAGAAAAAAAAAATAACTCCCAAAATGTACCTATTGATTCTAGAGAAGCCATTGGGGTCGGAGACTTTTCGGCTTCTTCACGCGAGTTGGCTCTCTATAAGTGAAAAATTAGTATTCTATTTACACATACGAATTAATTTCCAAAACTATTCCATGTTTTTACTTTTCGCGATCTAGCTAAAGTTCATATACGATTTCAATCTTCTACGTGCATTACTTGTGTATGTACAATACCTGTTTAACATACGCAAGTTAACATACGCATAATCCTAAAGATGTAAAAATTTAAAAGTAATTAAATAATCAAAATGAATTAATTGAGTAAATTTTGAACGCACGTATGGCTCCATACGCAGTCAATGCCGATGCGAAATATATACCTGATAATTGCTCTCCTTACATGCAATTTTATAGGTACCTATTTTGAAACAAGCCTAACCTAAATAAAGGAAGATTTTCTTAAATTTTTATTTTCTTAGTAATAATATTCGCTTAGTAATATACAATAGTAAAAATAAGATCTCAGACATTACCATAATGCAGATGATGTAAGACTGGAAACAAAATAGAACAAAAATAAAAAAAAACACATCAAGATATGGTAACCAACAGAACCTGACGAATAACACGCAGCTCTCGTTCTCTCTGCTCTTCAATTACTTCCAAAAGGCTTAGGTAATCCTATTTACAGAGATATAGCGGGTAATAAAATATTAGAATATGACAGTAACTTATACATAATGCTCAAGAAGTGTTGATTTACCTTTTTATCAGTTTCGTAGCTGGTATCACTAGTACCAGGTATTAGATTTTTTTTTGCGAGTTGTTTATTCCCAATATTTGAGCGTGCAGTAGTTTTTAAAGGAAGAGTCTTATCAGTCGTACGTTCGTCCTGACCACGCTGTTCTTTTAGAAGTTGTTCGGTCTCATTTTTAATACCAGTTTGGGCTGTAACTGCTAGTTTTCCTTTTTTCTTCTTTTTTGGTACAGCAGCTTGCATTTTTATTTCAGTAACATTTATTGTTGTGCGGGATGTTACACCTAAAGCCGGATCCAGGTCGACTTCTACATTTCGCCCCAATACCCTCAATTGCCGTGCAAGGAGGTATAAAACAGTCTGTATTATTTTAAAATTGATAACATTACCCTACAAAGAACACAGCGACAAAATTATGTTTACGGTTAACATTCAGAGTAAATCATTTAACGGATGAAATATACCTATAAAGTTTAAATACTTCTATTTTTCTATTTTTTTGTCTCAAAACCTACATCTTTTTCTAAGATTTTTGTTTATTGTTTTAATAAGTACGTTTCTTCATCCTTTGAAAATATTAGTAATTGATAAAAGATTCTGTTCACCGTTCTTTTACCACTGACATTGTTTGTCTTCACTGGTGTGAAGTAGTCACACCAGTGAAGACTAACCACTTCTGTGAGATCAATGCACTTCCCCGGTCGAGCTGGCTTATTCATGCACGTGCTGTTTAAAAGAAATCCTAAAATGATTAGAATTACCATGATATGTTAAGTAGCAAAAATATTAAGAAGAAACTTACATCAGACTCTCCGAAAGCCATGTCTATCAACTCTCTCACGCTCATAATACTTAAATTCGACATTTTTGTAGATTCCTTCAAAATTAAATGTATTGCCAAAAGTTACATGCATAATCTAGGCGCCCCGAGGAAGGTTGACATTTAATTATTTTTTTATATATTAGAGTTTCCAAGAAGGAGATTAATGTCAAATTAATAAAAAATTTGGTAAATATTCCGAACAGTACGTCTCGTTTTTCAAGCTAGAAAAAAATTTTAATCGATAGAGAAATGTTAATAATTAAATATTAAATACGTGAAAACCAAGGCAAACACTTACTTTTAATAAAAAAAAAATATTTAAAACTTGTTATTTTCACTAAATAAATCCGCCATTTTGTGTTTGAAAACATGTATAAATTTAAGAATTCACTCACTTTTCCAAATTATAACCTTCGCATTATTAAAAAAAAAAGAGTTTAAAAATACTAAAAGTACTGTTACACTAAAGTTTTCTGGGTGGTCATAAAAAAAAACCTAACAACCTTCTAACCTAACCTATCCGAGTCGGATCGCTCTGTGTCGGATCTGTGACTCATTTTGAACCTAATATTCGCGACATTAAGTGTACCCTAAGTCACAAATTTTAAATATTAGAAATTGTTAATAATACATGTTCATGAAGTAGAAACTTGTGTTTTTGTGATATATCCGTGTATTTGTGTCTTCTTACAGTGAAAACGTAAGTTTTTAACTTAAAATAATAGTCTATAATGAATAATGGACGCACAGTAATGACGGATTTCAGTTGTATGAAATTTAAAAACTTTGTTAATTTTTTCCTCATAATCTAGTGGTTTTCATTGATTATAACTTATATAACATTTAATTATTAACATTTCTCTATCGATTAAAATTTTTTTCTAGCTTAAAAAAACGAGACGTACTATTCGGAATATTAGCCAAAAATTTACTTAAAGTTGTACTAATATTTCACAATAATTTTAACATTTATACATTTTATTTGATAGAGCATTTTTTTCTAGTTTATTTCAAGATGAAATTGTCGAAAAATTCTTGCCGCTGCAAAGACTCGAACTTGCACGTTTCGGACTAAGCGTTCAGATGCTTTAGTTACTAAGCTATATGGATAACTCCTCACCACGATATTGTCATCCAGGTTAAAATATGAAGTACACTTTGACCATCATCTCATCGGAAATTTATAATGATTTATAGCAAAAATAGTGAGACACTGAGTGTTTTGGTTTTCTATATGCAGAGTGGATTGGGTTACAGTAAATTTTGTTTTTGATAATTTATTTTTGAAATCATAGTTTTGACACATTTGGAAAAATTGAACGTAAAATTTTTACGATACGCGCGCACACCGATAGCCAAAAGAAGCCGGTTGCAAGGCGACCAACTTCTACCAACTTCACGGTATTATCATAACAACCTATTGACGTTTACCTATAATTACAAGTTGTATATATTTGTCATAAAATTTTCCTTATAAATTTTTTAGATACTTTTCTTTTGTTAAGCGAAAGAAGTATAGCTTTAATAATCTTTTTATTAATAACTTTATTTACTTATAATAATATTATACGTACATATATTATATTATGATATACGCCTAAAACTTAACGATTTACCAGGGAGAATTTGGGTTATTTTAAATGAATTACATAAACCAAAAGCGTAAGAACTTTAAATAGGAATAATAATAATATTGTATATTATTATTATACAATATTATTATTATTCCTATTTAAAGTTCTTATTATTTCAATAATATTATTAACTCGCGGATGTAGAGAAAATTGCAACGGACAACATTTTTATGTTAGAAATTAGCAAACGAACAGGCGGTTCACAAGATGTTAAGTGAATACTATCGCCCATGGAAATCTCGAACACTAAAGGGTTGCGGATGCGTTGTGAACATGCCACAAAGTGGGTCCCGATTACGTCATTTACCCGACGAAATGCGAAAGAATAATACTTTTCACGCCGGTCTTCTGCAATGTCTTGGTATTTCCAGACGAGCCTGTCCATTCATGCAACAGCCAAAGGTGCTGCGTAGCCCTGTCCTGCGTGGTTCTGTTACTTGGTTTTTGTTCTTATGAATTCAATATTATTGAAAGCATCTATATATTATATATGCTTTGGGAAACATTTTTACATTATAATACGCTTCTTTTTTGCTACAGCGTCAGCGGTTGTAGTTCTAAAATTCGTAAGGTTGTTTTATTAAGTTTTTTATGTGAGCATGTGGCAAGCGAGCTGGCAGTTCAACTGATGTTAAGTGATAGCCGCCGCCCATATACATTTGCAACATCCGTATGGTTGCAGATGCTTTGCCATCTTTTTATAAAGTGGGTCCCGGCTACCACTTACCAGACGAAAAGCAGAAGTATAACACTTCACGCCGGCCGTCTGTGAGGTTGTGGTATCTACTTCCCCGGACGGATCTGCCAATTTGTTCAACAGCGGACTGTTGCGTGGCTCTATCACAATTAAGTGTAACATAATTAACATTTAACATAAATATAGTTATTAACAGATTGGAATGAAAACACTTAAAATATAGAACTGTAAATAATATATTTCAGGGTACATATTTACAAAATACATTTTGAATCTTTATCTACATAAATACAATCTGGAAATGTTCAAATATTTAAGAAAATATAGGAGTTAATTTCAAAAAATTGGTATTTATTTTACATTTGCTTTCTCCAACATATATTATAAATACAGCACAAGGAATTCCTACACTAGGAAAACTATAGTTTAATAGAATACAAATATACAGCTGGCTCGAATTTGCTCATAATCTGCTTCAATTTATTTAAATATGTATATATTTATATGCAGTTGTGATATGTTGATTAAAAATTACAAAATTTACTATCTATTTAAATATCATTCTACTTATCCATAATATAAAGTGAGCTACTTATTAGGCACGATTCCGACAGTCATTGGAGCGCGATAAGGCGCAGGCGGGCGCCCTGAAAGGCGACGATGAAGTGACATCAGTGGCAGAAGCCGCCGCCTCCATACCCGCACTTTGACTAGAGATCGTCTGCACTGCAGACGGGGTCGGCCAGGATTGTTCCTTTGGACCATTTGATGTCGACATTTCTATTACATTAATTTTAGTCTTACTTAATTCGTTATCCGGTTGCATTTCTAACTTTCTATGTTTAACGCGTTCTTGGGCTACGAGAACTGCGAGTGGGGGAATTGGTGGCATATAAGCGTGGGGCTCGTAGTTGTCATCGACATAGTCCTCGGGATTCCAAGCTGCCGTTGTGGTCGTCGTCGAAGGCGTGGTTGATGAAATTTTTATAGTTGTCGCTCTTGAAGTGACAGGGGAGAGCGTTGGTTTTACACTATTTTTAGGAATCAAACTAGTTGGTACAGTAGCAGTTGCAGGAACCGTGAATATTTTTCTAGGGCTATTAGACCTCGTTTTCCTTCGTTTATTTAATTTTGGCACATCGAGGAAGAAAGGATCGAAAATAAGATCTGATTCTTTATAGTCATCGTAATTTATAGCAACAATAGGTTTCACCGCACTCACTACGTTTCCAACAGTGTAGTTCAATCTTTTTCCATTGCTGTCACTAACAGAGGCACTAGCGGTGACGATGACTCGCGGAGGACTTTTAGGTTTGATTGGAGGTCGTTCTGTTACAGTTGGCGGTGCTACTGATCGAGCACTGGGGGGTGTTTCCTTTTCTGATGATAAATCATCGCTTCGTTTTCGATCGAAGTAAAAAGGGTTGAAAGGTAAGGCATGTTGCGGTGGTAATGCTGAAGGATAAGGCTGTGGACGATGCTTAACGGACGTTTCATGCCTTTCAGACGGCTGAGAGGACGGTCCAGGGCGCAGAATTTGATCTCGGGGGTCAAGAGTTGTAGCCCGAAATGGTTGTGGCCTTTGCACGAATGGAGTAGGCCGATTTACTGGGCGCGGTGCAGTTCTTGAAGACTCGTATTGAAAGTGGTCAAATTGTTGGGGTGGCGCGTGAGTAATGTAAACTCCATCAGCGGGACGAAAACTCTGACGCTGAAAGGAAATAGCCTCAGAACCTGGTCCACGATGACGATAAATGAATTCTTGGGGGGAAAGTAATGACGGATCAATAGTAGTCAACGGTTGAGCGGACGGCGTTGATGAAGGATGTATGTTGGGTAAAGGTGGGGAAGCTATCGGCGAAGTTGAAGATATTTGGGGAGGAATAGCCGACGGTCTATTGGTGGTAACAGTTGACGTTGTGCTAGAGGTTGGTTCTACAGTTGTTGTTGACGTTGTTGTAATAATTGTCTGCACAGTCGATGTAGTTAAATGATTCGAGTAATCCTCTTCGTATTCCTCAGTTTCTTCGTCTTCATCTTGATATTCTGGAAAGTTAAAATATTCTTTTATTTAATTGATCTCCCATTACTTCTACCGCAAGTCGCCTTTATAAATAAGCCCAAAATATGTGTTTATTAATTTGTAGTTTGTGGTTTTGGTAAAGTTAATATTTCCGGTACATCAATATCATGTCTGTATGTGTTTTTTACACCAAAAACAAGCGTTTCCGGTAAGATAATATGATTTTGCTGCTCAATTAAAGATCTCAAATTAATTAAAGAAGCAAGTTGTGTTTCTACATATAAAATATCCAACAACCTAAGCCTATATTGATTAAAGTTTGAAAATATTTAAGTTGTAAAATTATATGGGATTGGAACTACCTTCGTTACGCTCCGCATTTTGTTTTAAAGGATGTGACGATGAGCTTTGGGCTATTTTCGGGTCATTTTTCTTTATTTCTTGTATTGGGTCTTCCGTAGAATCTAATACATCTGGAGATATTGCTTGTATCTTGTCATTTGTTGTTGTAGGCATTTCATTTACGGAAGGATCTAATAAATCCTCCGTATTTGTTTTAGTAGTTATGCTGTGTGATTGTTCTGTTGGACTATTTGGAGTGCTACTCTTATCTGGCTGTATGATGGGCGGTGCTGTACTGCCGTATAACTCTAAGTTTAAGCTGTAGAATTTTTCAGATTTTGTGCAATCCACTTCGTCTACTCTTTCACATACTCGTGTTTCCTGAAAGATAAGACAAACATTTTCTTTTTATTTGAATATTTTATATTCCATCTATGGAAGGCTCCCCTAGAAACCCTTAAACAACATCGCTGACAATGTCGATATATCCACAAAAGCCTTGGCGTTGCTTGTGCACTGACATCATTAAGGATTCCTATCTCAACAGACGAAATGAAAATTTAAATAAATATTTCTGCTTAATTTGTCTTTCCCAATATTTTTGAAAGTTGTGCGAAAAGGTATTATATTGCATATGTTATATACAGTTTACATTTCAGTGACTTGGTTCTGTAGGCCGAAAGGCATCAAGCTTTTGGCGACATGATGAAAGGGGAATCTGAGACGTGTCGTGTTTATTTGTTTTAGTGGGTCTATCTTATCTTCTAGTGTTTTCATTTGGTTAAGAGTTTTCTTTGCTGGATTTTAAATTTAAATATATGTTACTAGCTGCTGCCCGCGACTACGTCTGCGTAGAATAGGCTGAAGGCGTAACATTCAGACAGAAAGATAGATATACAAAAAATATGTATATAAATTATAGCTTATGTCTTATTCTGATGTATAAGCTATATTATTGTAAAGTTTCGGTAAAATCCATTAAGTAGTATTTACGTGAAACATCCATCCATACAAACTTTCGCCTTTATAATATTAGTAAGGATTGGTTGATTTTGAGTTACTAAAAACATGTTACCTGATCGAAAACAGTGCCATTAAGGCAAAGGAACTTAATATCCATGGGCTCATCTTGTTGGCCAACCGTGCAAACGTGAAACATCTGGCACGAAGTCTCTAAGTCTGCGTAGTATCCACCGATAACTTTGCCATTGCATGTAAAGTTGGTCTCAGGCAGATTATCGAAGTCCAAGTACTAGGAGTAGAACAGAAGATATTATTAAAATAAGAACGTACAAAGCCTTTAGAAACCTTTACTTTTAGCACCATGTATCTTGTTGTAAAAACAATATGTGCAAATTCCGCGTACAAAGGAAGTTCATTATTCCGTACTAAACTTTTTATAACCATAAATATTTAATAATTTGGCAAATGTAAATGACGTTGACATTATTCAATTAAAATAAATTTAAAAGGATAGAGAAAAATCACCAATGAATTAACCCACAAGCAGTATCTCCGGTCGCTTATATTTTTTGAATTATGATTGATTATTTGAGAAAAAAAATTAAAAGCTAGTTATTTTCACTAAGAAAGTCTGCCATTTAATTACATTTAGTAATAATTTAATTATGAAATAAAAATAAGGTTCCTACATCTTTTAGTCGTAAAGGCATCGTGGAGAAAGATACCAAATACTATTTTCTAACACCATTTTTTTCTATACCTACATTGTGACAAATCGCTATAGGCTGTCAGGTGTCTGACAATCAATATGATCGAGGTTCACCAGACACAAATGCCGAAAAATGATTTTCGCAGATAAGAATTGAGAAAAATAGAAATATTATTGGTACAGCAGGAATTTATGTACGCGACCTTCACAAGTATTACGTTGTAGTCACATGATAATCATTTTAAAATAGTTATCAAAAATGGAGTTATCAAAAATAAAAAAGAAGGCTGTTATATCTTCAAATATGAGTTGATATCAGATTAAAGAATTAAGATGAAAAAAAAAAACTTACGCCTGGTTGAATGGACTTCGATATGCCGAATTCATTCTGAAATACGAAAATCAGCAACCACAGCCATACTGAAAAGAAAAAATTTGCATAATTTAATAAATATTTTATCATGCATAATGATATTATAAATTACAGTACCTGGATAACCGAGCTTTGCTTGGATTTTTGTTCTCACAAAAGAATGGCGTAGTAAGTTTGTCCTTATTTCTAGTGTTTATTTTGTCTGTCACTATTATTCTATTCAACAAAATATCTTTCTATTTACATAGTATTCTTATGTATTAATGTAGCAATTTTAATATATATATATATATATATATATATAGTTACAGTACTACGCCATTGTTTCGTCTACAAAAAGAAATAGATCGTTCATGGGGCAAAGTGTGCGCATGTATAATAAATTCCCATAGTCGATATTAAGTCTGCCGTTTGACCAATTTAAACGTAAATTAAAAGTCAACTTATGCTTAAAGCATATTATACCATTGCGGAATATCTCGACGACGCCAATGTGTGGAGTTCATACTGTTGATACTCACGTACTAGAATAAGACTTAATTATACCTTATATTACGATACTGCTTTCGAACCGGTGGTACCTTACGAACCTATATACATAATTTTTGATGCAAAATTTGACGATTCATACGAGCGCAATTTCAGAAAATTCAAACGTCTATTTCAATAAATAAATTTTTGATTTTGATTTTGTGGAAAAATGACAATATTAATTTATTTTGAAACAATATATAATCGTTTAAGTACTTATTATCTTATGTAAATTAGTACTTTTTAGTGTAGAATATAAAAAAAGAACTATGAAATCTCTATAAACTTGTATTATTATAATTCAAATATAAGTGTTAAATTTTGGAAAAATATAGTTTTTAGCATTTTTGTTCAGTATTTTTTTCCACACAACATAGTTTTTGATAACATTCATTTCACTTGAAACAATGAAAATAAACAGTACGTTTAACTGTGCTTACGTATATATACGTTCACGTATTACGTGTATAGGTACTTAGGTATTTACGATGTGTACAAACTAAACTTGTCTAAACACAGAGCGCGATAGCATTTCAGCTCGCGGTGTAAGCATTTGAACAGCTAGTAAATTTGAACAGACAGGAAGCAGGAAACAATCACGCTGATAAAAGTTTTCCCGTCAAGCACCGACTGAATTCTTTTGCCTAATATAAGGCTATTCAGTCAGAAATTCCGCAGAAGAGGTATTCGACTTGTGGCTATTCGTTGCAAGTATACTAAAAACACAAATTTTGATAGCACTTTAATAAAAAAATACAGTGTGAGGCATAGAAGGAAAAGTACTAGTAATCTAAAAAATACAGATAAAAGCTTTTTTTTGTTTGAAAATGCGTTATAAAATTTTTTAATAGCAAATTTGACCATCGCGGTTATAAGTAGCATAAATTGGTGATTTATTGCTTCTATAAGGTTAAAGATCTCATTCTGCGATAATTGTTAATTGAATTAAGTTTTGTTAAGTCAATTGCAATGTTATTTCAATAGGTCCTTTGTTTAGGTAGGATAGACCATTTTCAATTTGCAGCATATCTTCCATTATTTCAATTTTATCCCCTGTTAAACGTTGTTGTTTCATAATGTATTGTCAGTATTTTTAAGGTTTAAACACAAAAAAAATTGCTAAATTTAATATTCGTAATAATTCTCAATCAATACCATTCAACTTCTCCACAAAAAATCAACCAAAATGAAACAAAAGAACTTTCTTAATTTTGTTTTTCATTTACATTACTTTCTTTTTGCTAAAATCTTTGTAAGGTTTAAAAGCGTTTAAAGACCTTTAATTAATCTTAGTAAATTATTTTATCAAATGTCGTAATATTTTATCGTGTTGCTAAGCCTTTTTTAATGTATATATTTATGTGAAAATATGTATAAAGAAATATACAATTATGTTCTTTCCGCCTTATTTGGCCCTATTTTAATTTCATCAAGCAAATACATGTACTAGTTATCTAACCCTTAAACGATACTTCTGAGACTTGCATATCATTTATGACATCGCTTTTATGGATAGGCACCATGAAAAGAAAAGAGCATTTCTTTTTAAGAATTATCATTTCCTAATTTTCATATATAGCCGCGATAGCTCATTGTACGGACGTTCAGTTTTAATGCAATTTACTCGGGAAACTGATTAATATTTATTTATGTATACAATATATCGATATATATTTAACGTAATTCTAAAAATAACCACTTGTATTTTAGCTAGAAAACTAACGGCTACATTTAGATGTGAACATTAGTGAAATTTAGAAGTAAAAGTCTTATGATGCTTAGTAATGTAATTAGTTACCTTGTAGAGCGGAAGCGGTACGCACAACGATTGCGCGTTCAGCTGAGATCCGAGCCTGACGCCGCATCTGAAGTTGAAAAATTTCATTTTTACAAAAGCACTATTTTGAAAATATATATGTAAAAGGCACCAAAGGCCGTCACTACATACATTCATCCATATTTGATATTTATTAAATATAAGCTAAACGATGTAAAATTTTATTGGAAAATCAGAATAGCTACTGTTAAGAAGATAACAGGATTAGAATCCTCTCTTATTCTCTTGTATTACGATGATGATGAGACTGATTTTAATATTACAATTCCGTTATTCATATGTAACAATCGTAAGGGTGAATTTTTTGTTTATTTAAGCTTTATTGCTATCTTTGAAAAAAAAAAAGAGAACAAAGGCGCCACCACCAGCCACCCAAGATGTAGTGATATTTTATAATAGGTGCAGCAAGAGATGCTAAAATTATTAAGTCTATGGTAGTATATTGATCATAAATTTACATGAATATATTAAAATTGATTCTAGTTGGATTGTTTCTGAGTTTAGGTGTTTTAGTATTAAGACGTAGGTATATAGAAAACTTATGGCGCAAAACTTGGCGGTAAAGAGAGAAGACGCCTTGGGTGAGCGTTTATCTACTAGTTTGCCGATATCCTGAGGAAATGTGAACTTAGGAATGCCTTAACTTCGGCGTAAGTACGCGAATCTATGTGCAAGTTCTAGTGGCTTAGAAGATACGCAAAATTTCGATTCGATTTCGCGAACCCCGCGTATGCATTTTACTGAAATTAAATTTTAAATGCCGATGGTATTTCGGAATATTTTGAAGTATAAATAATAGCCATTGAAAACTTTCGCTGAATGTTTAAAGGGTTAACATCTTACCGACTTTATGTAAATTAAACGTTTATGTAAATTATTTTTACTTCAAATTAAAAAAAAAATCAACGTTTAACAGATCACAGTTGTTTAACCGATGATGTAATTCTATATTTTATACCTGTAATACAATTCTATATAGACAGTTCCTGTGCAATTCACCCGAGAAATACCTGAAGAACGAATTATAAATAACATCCTACTTGGTTCTTTTACTCGGTGGCACAGTAGCTAGGAAGTAGCGCCGTCTACAGAAGATCCGTGAAAAAATTATCAATAAATATTAACTCCCTTACGTTATATTACAATATCTAGTTTCGATAAAGCAACGGTATATGAGAACAATGGTCGGGTCACACTATTCGCACGAGCATCACGGCCCGACAATGGAATGTCGACATTTGCAATTAACCACCTACAATGAATTGTTCCAATACGCCTCATCCAGAATTACATAATAGAATAATTAAAACATTGAAACAGAAAGCCCTACTTTTTACTGTTTCTCTGAGTGATGAAACGATAAAAAATATCAAGTCATCACTGACCGCGCTCTTTTCCTTTCCATTTATTACAAAAGGTTTTGATATAAATCGGACATTAGTTTAGTTACGTTTTACGATTCTGTCATGTCAACTTCATAAAAGTCAAGTTCCCTGTTCAAGAGTGTACTTACTTATAACGGCCTTAAACGAAGGTGGCTTCCTTTTTAGGTCTGTATGTTTAATTATATAGTAGTTATTTTCACATTTAAAATATATTAAATACATTTTTTATTTTTTGTAGAGCCTTGCTAGCTCAGTGTCCCGGCGCTCGCCTTTAATTAAATATACTCGAGCAATCTGAGTTCGATTCCCGGTGCCGGATGATACCAATGAAATTGTTAATTTTAAGTGCCGAATTATCGTGCTCAGCGGTGAAGTAAAACATCGTGGGTAAACCTGCATATTTTCAAAATAATAACAAAAAAACATTTCGAAGATATGTGAAGTCCGCCAATCCGCAGTGGGGCCGTGTGGCGGATTATGCCCTGATACCCTCTGTACAGAAGAGGCCTTTGCCCAACAGTGGGACACGTATAGGCTGATACTTTACTTTTAAATACATTTATATCCTTGTAAATTGTACTTGTATAATCAAGAAGTTTGCGGAATTTTCACTTTATACTATTCATATTATAGATATTCATACATTCACATTATAGAACCAATCACCTGATCACACGGCAACGGAGTACATTGACCAGTATACCACCCGCGTCAAGTATGAAACTTCCATGTAATAATATATTGGGACATCTTTATTAATTACATTCTTTCTGAAAAATTGACGAGTATTGTGCTTCACCCAGGATATATTTAACACCTCGGTTGATACCCGCGGAAAAAGCTAGTGAATCAAAAATGTTTGAATGTGTATATTCTGTATTTGTTCCTTTTTTCCTTAACGTTGACTTCTTGTGTCATTGTTCTTCTTTATCTAACGACCACACTTACATATACAATAGGATTTTAATGAATATTTTTAAACGGTAAGGACTTCATCCAGGATATATCTAACACCTCGCGGAAAAATAATAGTGAATCAAAAATGTTTCTTTGCTATAATAACGAATTGTCTATGGTTAGTGAATTCGAATTTATAACGAGGCGGATAGCAATAATGGTCAGGTAAGAGAATAAACCTTGTAGCCGGTTGTTACGCGTAAATAACAGCCGCGGCGTTGGCGCCGCTCGGTTCCGATACGTCCTTGCTGTCAGCCGCCGTTCGTTCATTATAATCGAATTATTTTCGCTGCTTGGTGCCGCTCCACGCAGATGGAGGCAGAAAAGTAGGTTGCAATTCGTAGCCTATCGCCCGTAAAGAAACAACGAGGGCGGTTGAGTCGCGCTTTCACACGTAACGGTATCTTACGGTTACGATAATTTGGAAATTGCACCTAAATAACATCTATAATATGTTGATTCAACAACAATAATCAATTAGGTCGATCTATGTATGCTAAGTAAATTGTAAAGTTTTTCGCCATAGGAAGTTGTTATGTCAGAATGTCCTAGGGTGCGGCTTCCTAGCCGTAAGACCAAAGGCCGATGGAGCGGCACAAATCTGGAGCGCGGCCTGGCTAGTATAAATTACCATGTACACAAGTAAACAAATTGGCGTTAATTTCGAAATATCCAAGTGGATATTACTCTTAATGAAATGCGTGCAGTTTTAATAGTAGTTTTGTCTGCATTTGATGAAGACACAGTTAATGAAGAGATAGTAGTTTCAGTTAAGTTTCCTAAAATTTCTAATCACTCAATTTAAATTTCAGGCTCAAGATTTGACTTTTTTAACGTTTTAGATATATATGAACACTATAGCTGGCTAGGTGGTTTGCAGTCTGATAACCTATATTGAAATCAGAAAGATAGATCAGAATATTAAATCCAAAGTCCAAATAAGCGTAGGAAGGGATGGATAAAGTGGATTCTGTTTAATTTGCTTCAACCTTTGACCGCTCAATCAGGGTTGAAAGACTTATGTGGAATAAGAGGACGTCTTAATTACTTTAAATAAATTTGAATATCAGCGCCACATAAATAAAATAAAGTAAAGTACATAAATAACCATAAAGAAATTATAATGAAATTGGAGTTTAATAATGTTGCATAACGTGCATTTGCTATTATTTAGAAATTTATAAAACATAATTTCAATATGTCCAAATGTCTAATCTGCTTCCTTGATAAATATAACTTACGTATTCAGATAAGATGGTCATAACATGCTCTTAGAAAGTATTCTAATTTGTGAAGAATTTGATTTATTCAAGTACCTTGTCTTATTTAAGCGATGCTTTCTAAACGACTAAATATCAAGAATCTTGTTATAATGTTAGTTGAATCTTGTTAGCTTGTATAAGAGATCTTGTTTCACGAAATAATGGTATAAGTATTTTTTTTAAAGATCTATTGCATGTATAATTCTGATGAATCGTGTAGGTAGAGATAAGCGTTTGGACGGGCTTCTATCACTCAAATGTTCTATAATGTAATTCAATAACGTAGCAGCGCAAAACTGGTGTGGCTGTGTGCTTCGAGTGCATTGTAACGGGTCGAGCGAGCCGTCCGGGTCCGTTATGTCAGCGCGTAAGTAGCAGCCGTTGGCTTTAGAACGTATGACGGTCACTATGTTACCGGCGCAGGCGCATCGTATAGAGCTCGTGAACGAAATGTTATTGATGTGCTTTGTGAAATCATATTCAACGCTATTAAAAATGCTATGAATAAGCTGTTGGAACCTATAAAATATATATTAACCTTTGACACATGTATATTGAGAGCTGAACTTATATAAATATATTAATACTTAAATAATATAGCTCAGGGATCGATGAATTTGTTATTTTAATGATGAAACATCAAACCCGCCGGTACTTAGATGGCGGCTACGAATCAAAGAGATCAAGAGTTCTATTAAGAGAATCTACTCTATTCACATAACATCGATCAAAGAGCCTTGCCCCAGTGAACGTTGCATAACGAGTGGGGCATCTTCGGAACGCGATGCCTACTTTTACGATGGTAGATTTATATTGCATTTATATCTGCTACAAAATTGTTGATGTAGGTATGTTTACTTAAATGAATTTATCAGTACATTGAACACAACCTTTCATCATTGTCATTGAGCAGTTTAAGTATTGTAATTTGAATAAAAACATTTTCGATATTTTAAGCCTGTTAATTTAATAATTATTGTAACTTATATTTGACACATTTAACCTTTTTGTGTTCATTCGAATGTTAAGTATTGAAGAACGTGACCCCAAAGCTTAACGACAACTCGTTTCGAATTACTGCTGCTTGGATAAATATTCAGTGTCTTTAATACTTTAAATCTTCTGTATAATTAGGGCGTATATTTCTAAATTTTCAAATTTAAAAAAGAATTACAATTAAACTTTAACTTTAACTTAATTTAAATAATCGATCTATCGAATATTTTCATTCAAGAGCACGGTTACATTATTTTCAGAACTGTATAGGAATCGCGTAGTGAATTTATTATTTTCGATAAGCAGAAACTGACTATCCGAATGTCATACGTTCAGTGGACACTGATATCCAGCTTCACGTGTGCAGAATATTATGTGAACGATATATGCTGCATTTAACTACTAATCATGTATACAATAGTCTCCGT